CCTCTCTGCAGAGTTTATACTCTACTGCTAGAGCACTATAGTTTTGCGCTAATTACCACGGTCAAGTCCAGCCTTTCACAGTAATATTATTTTCTGAAGTGGGTTAGTGACCCAAGAGCAAAAGACTTTCCTGTTCCCATCAGATAGCTCCTCCCACCTTCCTCACCTGCTCTCACCAGACATTACCAAAACCTTCATGTGAACGAACAGCAACAACATTTAGGTTTCGATGAGGTGATGTCTGGCTTTTTGTTTTTAAATTAAATATCACAGGTAAATGGCTAGTCCGTGCCAGAAATCAGAATACAGACATCGCCACCATTTCTAAGAGAGCTGTGTGAGCCCAGCCTGTGCGCCCTGGAAGGTGTCCCCCACCCTTAGGTAGTAATCAAGACAGAAATAAACCGGTAATCAGGGCATGATACATGGCGCTTTATTACACATGCTTTGCTTTCCCCTCGAGCATGCTTTCTGTCGAGTTTCTTTAAGCTTCTGCACACAGTTCAGAGGGTAATACCATTAATTACATCAACAAGGTAATGTAATGAAAGGTACGAGCCTTTACAGTACATGAGATTTATCCCTGATTAACAGAGGAGCCCCTCCCATTGTGAAGCTTTGGTCTGTACTATCTGAGGATAATGCTCCGATTGTAATTAAAACTGGGGAAGAAATTTCACTCTTCTCTGCAAGTGGAAAACGAACAGTTTAAAAGCAGAGGACCAAACTAATCACTTAGGGAAGTCAAAGAGATATTCCAAAAAAGCCCCAAGGAGGCTTGACTTATAATTAGCAGCCCAAAGATTTCCAGTGATATTACACATCAATCTTTGTTTAAGAAAAAAACTTTAAGATTATTTTGACAAGATAGAGTTTTGACTGAAGTTGAGGGAAGCTGAAAGCATTACTTTCAAATGTAATTATGTGAAATTTCAATTATCATCCTCCCTTTCAAAAGTCTCTCGATCCAGCAGGCAATTAGACATGAAAGGGGGCGGCAAGGTTTGCACGATGTACAATGTGATTTCTTCCTGAGGACAGACACACCTGGTGTGACTTACTGTTTCCAGCTTCCTTGGAAAGGAGAAGAGGCGGGGTGGGAATGGTCACTCTGGCTGGTGGAGGAATCTAGACATTATCAACAGGTGTCTCTTCTCTGTAGCTGTCCCCATGTTCATTCCCAGACACCTACTTTTTTTTTTTTTTTACCTTTGGGGGGAACCTAAGAGATTGTTAGGGATATTTGATATGTCATAGATTTCCATCCTGATGCTATTGTCCTCTGAGTGTTGACTTGAGTCAGAAGAGCTGATACAGCACATAAGAATTCTTTTCTTCCCCATTGCACCTGGCGGAACTGGAGAATTAAGGCACCAGCCAATTGGATGGAGCCCTGCTGGGAACGCACACGTGCCATTAGAGACCTTGCATTCTGCCCTGGTCCCCTTGGGCTGTCTGTGCACGTTCTACTGAATTCATGACTTCTGGCTGTCAATCAAATGGCACCATTATTTAAATTCATCAGAGTTTAGATTCTGACACACTCGCTAAGTGCTAAGCATGGATGATAATGGAAAGTTCCAGCCATTAGCCGACATAGCTAGCCGTCATCCTAACAGCTCACGTGTGTAGAACTCTGAAGCTTGCCCTCCCCCAGAAGCAACCTCCTTTACATCGATTCTCACAGCAGACCATCATGCCGCTCAGTTTGCCCATGTGAAGAAAGCAGGGGTCCAGGCAGGCCAAGTGACGTGCCCAGGGACACTGAGGCTCCTGGGACAGAGCCCGGACCACCACCGTGGCTGGGGGCTCAGCTTCTTCCTGCCACAGCCGCCACCAGCCCTCCCACCTTGTCCGCTTACCCCAAGCTGCAGCGCCCGTGGGCCTCTAGTGTCTCTGTGTGATTCTGCTTCTGGAGCCCCTCTCTCTGGCTCTCCGTGCTTCAGGATCGAGCCCAGGGCACCGTGGCTCCTGCCCTGGCCTCCCTCCCGACTGTCGTTCCTTGCCATTGCCCCAGTGGCCGGCACCCTGGCCACACGTGGAGTCTCGCGTCCTCTCCCAGATCTCTCAAGGCCGCTCATGCCATCTGCAGTCCCGTTCCCTGTTCTCCAAGCAGAAAACTCCCACCGGCCGTGAATTGCCACTTCCAGGAGGCCTTCCTGGAAGAGACTCCCAGACTGAGCCCCGTCTGGTGCTCCCGTGGCAGGCTCTAGTAAATGTATATTGAACATCTGCTAGGTTGCAGGTGCTGCTGGAGTCCTGGGAGGTGAAGCAGTGAGCAGTCGGAAAAGCAGGGGAGAGACCCTGTACATAAATGTGTCTGTAATGTGTGATTCTAAGGAAAACAAGCAGGCTAAGGGAGACAGAGGGAGGGTGGAGGGGGAGCTCCGTTAGATCAGGGGTCAGGGAAGGCCCTGTGCAGAGAGCGGGAAGGAAGGGAAGTGGTGAGCCGTGTGGATGTCCGGGGGGACAAGCATCTGAGCAGAAGGAAAAGCAGGTGCACAGGCCTGTGAGGCTACAGCTGCTTGGTGTGTCTGAGGGAGGAGGCTCAGCAAGTAGGAGAGGAGGCAGTAAGGGCTGAAGGCAGAGGGGCAGCTGGGCCGGAGCACGCAGAATGGGGGGCACGGGCAGCTAGGGATGTGGGAAGCCGGACAAGGAGCTTCTGCACAGGCCCATTACACTGTGCTCGGGATTTAAAGGACCCAGTCCTCACTCCCGCTGTATTGCTATCGATGTACTCAGTGGTCTTCCTGCCGCCCTTAAGCTCCGTGAAGGCAGGGGCCGTGTCTGGTTGATCACCACGGTGTCCCTGGAGCTCACGCAGCCCTGCCTCCTAGAAAGTACCTAACAGATGCGTGTGAAGTGGTGTTCAGAACAGCTTGCTTCCCCCTGGACACCACAGCCATTAGCGAAGCCGAGGGGCAGGCTGTTCCATTCTGTGTACCGCGAGCCTCCTGAAACTTACAAGGGACCGGAGAGGAGCTGGGCACCTAAGCCTGGGCTGCGCTGTGCAGGGCGCACTGGGTGCGTGGGGAGGAGACCCCTCATCAGGCCCCTCCCCCGTATCTGGATTACAGGTGACTACGGATGCAGTGTGTCCGGCAGTGATGACATTGTGGGCAAGACGCCTGTGAAACTCTCTCTGCCTCCTCTGCCTGACTCTCCTTCCCAGGAAACGGGCCGCATCCAGCCACAAGTCGGCGACACATTCGGTGTCTTCTCTGAAGCTATTTTCTCCTTTGCGATGGGGCATCGGGGTCCGCGCTGCTGCGGAAGGTGCACAGACGCACCTGGTCTGCCACTTCGTGCTTCTGGGGGGAGGGGTCCAGGGGGACGGGGGGATGTCCTGTGTGCCGTGTGTGCGTCGGACCACACGGATTCCGCGGGTTTGTTTGAAAGGATGACCTTTTGTTGGCGGAGTAATTTTAGTTTTAGTTGGCCGCGGAGACAAAGCAGTCTTTCAACACACCCGCAGCATATAGGCGGCCCGGGCTTTTTTCAATGAGGTTGTAGGAAATTTGCCAAGTCGTTTGGGGCCTGTAAATTAGGCCTTGTTTAAAAATTTAGATAAAGCCCAATGTGAGAGAGAAATGCTTTCATAACACGGAGCGGGACTCACGCTGAAAACCGCTTTCAAGTTAAATGGCACCGTTCTCGGGAAGCACAGGGACATGAAATGCTTCAAATGTCAAAAGAGTTTTCATTTATTGTCCCAAGTGAAACGAAGGCATTTTCTGTGGCTTAATAGTTCAGACGCACATGTAAATGGAATTCGTTTGGGGAGTGCCACTCCCGTTTCGGAATCTGTTGTCACAGACCTGCCCCATTCTATACCATCTTTTCTGTCGCCCCGCGAGGGGTGGGTCCCCCTGTCCCCGGTGCCCTTAGAGGGGGGACAGCCACTCCGTGACGTGCATTCCTGCCACCAGCTTGGCATCTTTAAGCCATAACAAAACTGGAAGTACTGTCACGTCTTAAACTTTCCTACCAAAGAGACCGATTATTGGACTGTAGGCGGGGGGGGGGTGTCTCGTGGAGAACCAGTGAACGGTGTCGGCTTGGCTTCTGTGGGTTAGTGTCTGACATTGTTTAGAGGCCTTTGTTCTTTCTCTGAGAGCCTCTCTGTACCCCGGCTCCCTTATTTACCACTGCTCTCCGTGGAGCTCCCTTCCCTGTGGGCTGATCCCTTTGATGGGCCACTGTGTTGCTTAAGATGTATTAGTTGCAGGGAACAGAAACTCCAAGTTCAAACTGACATGGTAAGGGCTTTCACGATGGAAGAAAGTCAAAGGCTTCCGGCACTTTCTGTGTATTTCCAGTATGCGTCTTGTGCAGCTCAGCTCAGCCTCCTCTTGGTCTCTTCAGTGTTGATTCCAAGGCCACAGGGGTCTTTACCCTTCCTGCTTCAAGATGGTCACCACGAGCTCCAGACAACCTTGCTTCCTCACTCCCGCCCAGTGGGTCAGAGCTACTTCTTGTTGGGTCTTCAGAAAAAAGTCCCGGACTTAGGTCTGGTTGGATCAGATGCAGTGCCTAAAGCAGGGGTGGGGGAGAGGCGAGGGAGGAGGGCAGAGTGCAGGTGGGTCCTGCCATATCTTTCCACCCAAGCCATGTGCTCTGGACCCAGAGCTGGAGTAAACCCAGTGGCGTGCTGGTAAATGTTTAACAAGTGAGAGACTCTCCAAAAAACAAACAGAAAGGCAAAAGTACTACTACTACTGCTACTACTAATGCAGAAGTTGCTGGTTCCTATGGTATAGACAATCCTGTCTTGGATGCTTTTAAGCAACGAGTGTCATACCACTGATCATACGCTTGGGAAAAGAAGCATATACATAATTGGCTTTCAGGCCAGTGCAGCTCGGTGACTCTTCCACCAGTGTTTGTGGGCCACACAGAAGGCAGGATAGGTCCCCGAGCCAGAGGCAGAGAAAGGGAAGAGGCGTGGCTGTGGGGACCCCTCCATCCGTACCCCCCTCCCCCCCATGCTCAGGCTCTCTCCTCACACTGCATCAGACTGGTCCTTCCCAGGCAGGCATGAAGCCCACTGCTAGTCTCTGCACCTGTGGAGAGTGGAGACAATTTAACTTGGACTCAGCGGTCAAGCCGGAAGCCCCCGGGCAAGTCCTTTGACCATTCTTGGTAGCTTCAACCATAAAAAGATTGTAGGAATAACCTTCCCCCCAAAGGGCCATCATGAAGATCAAATGAAATGCCACCTGCATGTCTAGTGTGTCTCTCACACCATGGGGACCACAGTTCAACACCAGTGTCATCCAGACAGACCTGGGTTCAAATCCCAGCACTGCTGTTTATAGGCTGTGTGACTGTGGAGAAGACACTTAACCCCTCTGAAACATCGTTTTCTCACCTGTACAAATGAGGGGTAATAATATACCTTATCTGGAAGGGTTGTTCAAAGATTGAATAAGAGAGCATATAAGAGCACAATAAAAGTCAAAGTCATTATTTTTATAACATAATTTCACAGCTAGTACATACTGATTACCCCCCACACCCCCAAATCCACTGCTCTTCTGAAGTCGGCCTCCAGTTTTGTTTGGGAGATCTGTCTTTCCCTGACATTTAGGCTACGAGGTTCGTTGAACATCCCCTATCCCTGCCTGGTCCCAAGTCATGCCATTTGAGCCAGAGAGTATAGTTACATCCCCTGACCACTGTTACTAGTTTAGAGGTCCAGTCAGAATTCAACCAAGAGCTTCTGTGGAAACTACTAGGAAATGACTCCCTCTGCATGGAGACTAGAGGGGCGGAGCTGCTGCATCCATTTTGCCACCATGAGGTAGAAGCCAAGTGGAGTATGTATGAGCCAACAGATGGCAGGAGCTATAGTAGTTTGAGCCTGGATCAAGAGCCTCATCCTTGGATATTTCACCCGCATATTCTGTTTATTCTTAAGCTAGTGAGGGTTGGGAATTTCCATCCACTGCACCCGCTAGACTCCTGTTGGATACCTTACACCTGGAGAAACTGAACATCAGAAGGTGGCTCAGGCGGGAAGGGGTAGCAGCGCTCTGAGTGATGGAGCAGAGACACTGGCCAGGCTCTTGGCTCCAGATCCCGTTTCCTCCCGCCCCAGGCTCTGCCGCTACCTCCACAGGGTTTTTCCCGAGCTGCCAGCCGGCGGCCCTGGCGTACGTGGTGGAGGAGTGTGACTCCACGCTGTGCTCATGCCACCTTCTCCCGTCACATGGCGTCCCTGAGAGAGAGCTCAAGCGCACGAGCCTGTAGCCTTGGGCTGGCTGGACTTTTTCCCAGGGAATCAAGTGGAGAAAATCCCCAGACAGTCCATCCCTCTGTGTCGTCGAGGGAGCCTGTGGGTATAATGCACCTTTGTGGGTTGTGTGTCTGAAGCACTGTGCCATTTTCAACGAGAAAGAAAAAGTCGTGAGAGAGAGACTAGGGGTGGGCTCTCTGAATGCCTCCCCGCACATTCTGGCAAGCACCCCCAGGTTTTTTAATAAATGTTATTTTGATTGGGTTTAGAGGTTTGGAGACGACAAAGTGACACATTTTCACAGCTCCCTGTCAAACCAAAGCATGACTGCCAAACTGTTGAGTTAAAAAAAAAAAAAGGCAGGAAAGGGAGCAGCTTGCATGAAATATCTCCATTGCAGTTTCAAGGTTCTTGCAGGGGGGGCTCTGCCTTCCCCCCACCGTCATTTACAGGTACACTTACTGCAGTAGTGGGGTGGCCAATGGTGGGGGTGCAATCTCCGAAGAATGTTTGCAAGAGTGTTGTAGTCAAAAGGTGCATTGGGTGGTACTTGTTTTTATTTTAAAACAAACTTTTATGAAGCATGGCCTCTCTCTGGTGGTTTCTTTGTAAGGGAATTAGATGTGAATCCCTTTATAAATAGAAAAATCCTTCTATGGAAGAAAGAATCACCCTGGTATCTACATCAGAAAATGCCTCCACCGTAAAAGCTAGATTCGCGACATATACATAATGAAGAACGGTCTGTGTGGAGAAGAGTAAGTGGCCTGAAGATCAACGGTACAAGTTCCAAAGTGTTCTGAGAAAGTTGAACAAGGCTGCAGCAGGAGAATCCTTCCTTTTTGAGAAATCTTTATGTTTTGGTTTGCTCATCTCACTTCTGGTCATCTTCCTGCCCGTCCCCTCCGCCTCCCCACCCCCGAAGCTGCCGGTAATGATCGCCTCCTACACAAGTGGTCTTGCATTGCTCTGAGCCAGGGCTGAACAAATGAAGCCGAGAACCCAGTGTAGACCCTGTAGAGGCCCATTGTTGGGCCCCATCCCACCAGCATCATCTGCATGCTGACCTTGACCACCTCTGCCAGTGCTCTTCTTCCAAGCTGAGCCTGGCGTGGGGTGTGGCTGAACCTGAACAAACTGATCACCAGTACTGGACTGGAAGGGTAACTCAAGATACTCACCTGTAATAGTAATAGACGGCCCCCTATTTGGGAGCGAGAGAGATACCACCTCAAATGATCAGATCTGCTGGTTACGAAATGCTGTGGTATGCAAGGTCATAGCCCCCTAGACATGTCCATGTCCTCATCCCCTGAACCTCACACGGCAGAAGTGAGGTGAGGAGACTATCATGCATCGTCCGGGTGGGCCCAGCGTCGCTGCAAGAGCCCTTATAAGAGGAAGGCAAGACGGTCAGAGTCAGAGAAGAAGGTGTATTGTCAGAAACGGGTCAGAGATGTCATTGTGGGAAGGGCCAGGAGCCAGGTAATGCAGGGACCCCTAGCAGCTGCAAGAGCTGAGAAATGGATTCCTCCATGGGGCCTCCAGAAGCACGCAACCTTGCAACACCTTGATGTTAGCCATGGAAGGTACATTTTCAGACTTTTTTATTTTTTGGCACTGAGTTTGTAGTAATTTGTTACAACAGCAAGAAGAAACTAATACAGACATCCGCTGTCAAAAGCATTAAAGTAACACACACCCCTGGGCTCTTAGATCACAGAACACGATTCATCCTTTCTTTTATGATTCAGAAGATAGTTTAGGCCCCTACCGTGCCTTGGGCACATACTTACAAAAATACGTTTCTGTTATATTAGGGCTGCTTAAGAAAGAGCTTGAACTGATAGGCTGTGAAAGTCGTCTGCTTTTCCTGTTCTGTTTTAAAAAAACAGCAACAACAAAAGATGATCGTTTGGAGTGGAAAGAAAATGCTTACCCCAGAGCGTCACAAAGTTGTGAGCTGTTCCGTTCTGAGCTCATGTCGTCATGCCTGGTTTTGTTGCCATCTGAGGGTTCCATGGATGCATCCGACACTAAGAGGCAGAGGAACCATGGTAAATATGGGGTTTGCAGGAGGGGAACCCATTCCTTTTCCTCTCTTTGCATGCCTGCTTCTCATTAACATCACAACGAGCTATGCATATGTGTCCAGAACGCAGTGGCTGCCATTTACTGTAAGATGACTTGTGTGTAACACTCCGGGCTTACACTGTGCTCACACCTGAACTGTTCCTTCCCAGGGAACTTCCTCTCCTGCGACTGTATCATATATTTCCCAACTCTATTTTTTATAAAACCTGGCCGATAAAAGATGAAAAGATCACTAAGGATTCTTCTCTTATGTCTTAAGAATTTCCATTCCATAACCACACATGGAGAACCTGTCTTCAAAAACGGATTATACGTTGGCGGGAGGTTGGATACTTAGGTCCTGGTGTTACTGCGGGAAGCCTGCAGCACCGTAAATAAAGCCCAGGTATTATGTCTCCCAGTCCCTGGTCACTCAGTCGCAGAGCAATATGAAGGCAAAGGCGAAGGTGGGGAGGAGCCCGACCCTTGTGCACTGTGTGGGGCACTCTGCCTGCATTTGGGACAGTGGGTCTAGACAGCTCTGCTTCCTTCCCCCCACCATTCAGTTACATCCTGTTTTCCGTAGCCCAGCACAGGCTGGCTTTGTTAGTTAAGTTGCCTTTTTATAAGGGATGGCGGGCAGGGCATGCCAGAGCTCACTGTGGGCTTTGGAGGGGCCCCTAAAGGTCGCCAACTGCTGGCAAGAAAAGAAGGTTCCTAGCGCTGGAATGCGCGTAATGTTTCCAGCCCATTTTTCTTCTCCTGCAGTCAGCTCACACCTCTTCTTCAGCAAGAATCCATTCAGGGCTCTTGTTGGGATGAGCACTGGGTGTTATATGGAAACCAATTTGACAATAAACTATATTAAAAAAAAAAAAAGAATCCATTCAGGGGATGGGTAAGTTTGCAAATTTGCCTTGACTTATTGTGTGCATGTAAAAAAAAAAAAACAAATTAGGAGGTAAGTGGTTCAAAAATGGGGCTGTGGAGTCCAGCTGCTTAAGGTAGAACTTGGCTTTGCCCTGTAATAGCTGCATGAACTTGGACAAGTCCCCCAGCCTGCAAGTGTCAGTTTCCCCACTTGTAATATGGTGGCGGGGGGGGGGGGGGGGAGATGAGAATGGTACCTACCCTGTAGGTATTATGGTGAGGGGGGGAGGAGAATGGAGTGAACGTCAAGCTGTTTGCATTGGCTCATGCTAAGTGTTCAGTAAATATTAGCTTTCTGCTGTTGTTGCTGTTGTTGATTGGGTGAGATGATGTAATAGATTAGTTAAGCGCACGGCTCTGAAATCTACAAATCTTATGTGCCCTGTCTTAGCACGGGGGCTTCGGGCCAGTCCCTAACTGCCCTGATTGGGGTTCCCCAGTACAGCCATGCAGCCGTGAGTGGTTGATGTGAGATCCCTGGTCTCACAGGAAGAAGAATCAGAGCTTCCTTTTGCCGCTGTTCGTACGCTCCCTGCTGCTACCACTGTTTTTTTTTTTTTTTTTAATTTTTTTTTAATGTTTTATTTATTTTTAGTAGAGAGAGAGAGACAGCGTGAGCAGGGGAGGGTCAGAGAGAGAGGGAGTCACAGACTGAAACAGGCTCCAGGCTCTGAGCTGGCAGTCAGCACAGAGCCCGACGCGGGGCTCGAACCCACGAACCGCGAGATCATGACCAAAGCGAAAGTCGGACGCTTAACCGACTAAGCCACCCAGGCGCCCCATGCTGCTACCACTGTTTTAGTAACGGGACGTCTCTTAGGCCTCCGTGAATAATCCTTTCCCTTCTGCCAGGGTCTTAACCGGGATCACAGGAAATATAATTCCACCTGTGCTTGTGGGCTTTACCTGCTTCAGGTGTAGCTGTGTCTGGGTTGTAGCTGATGTGAAATAATCAGACCAGTGGTTCTCAACCAGGGTGATTTGGCAATGTCTGGAGACATTTTTTTGGATGTCACAATTAAGGGAGGGGCTGATGGTATCTAGTGGGTGGGGGCCAGGGATGCTCCTAAAATCCCTCCAATGTATTAGGACAGCACCGGACCCAAAATGTCAATGGTCCAAGTTTGAGAAGCCTGAATTAGGTGATGTCGCAGGTGACGTATTGGGTGTCTACACACGGATTTGTTTTATTGCATTGGTTTGTTGTATTTCCTTATTCCAGTGTCTGTTTACATTGAGGTTTGTTGGCATGTGGAAAATCATGGCTGTCCAGTAAGGTAAAGGGTAAAAATACACTCTCTGTCCTCACTCTTCCACCCCAATCTCAATACACCCATTCCAGAAGAAAGAGGAAAGCAAGCACTGAGAACAGTGTGAAAGAGGGGAGGGTGTAGGTGGGGGCCTGGACCCCAGGATTCTGGTCCCCTTTCCAAGGCTTCCTGGATGGGGTGATTTGGCGCAAGTCACCCCACCTCTTGGGCGTCACGTTTCTCATCTGTCAGATGAAGGGGTGGGTCCAGATGCAAGTTACCATTCCGTTCTGAAATCCCTAAATAGAATTCTAAAATCGGATGGCCACCCTGTCTAGGTCCTGGTGGAGACTGGCTTGCATGGTGGAGACCGTGTTGTCTCTAACCCACCCCCTCAAAGGGAGGTGAAATGCATTGGAGTCATCTGCATGCTGTACCTTGAGCCATTTGGCTTGGGGGCTGCTTGTGTTAGAGCATTTCTGGCTCTCCTCTGCCCCTAAAAACCCCGATACTCATGACAGTAGCAGCAGCAGCTGACACTGAGCACTGACTGGGCACCAGCTCCGTTCTGAACACAGATCCCCTGTGGGAAGTCGTTCAGTCCACTCATCAGCCTCAGGAGCCAGATGCCGTCGTTTCTCCCACCTTACAGATGGGGAAACAGAGGCACACTTGTTGATCACAGGTGGGAGAGCTGAGCAGTCTGAGTCGGACAATACGAGACACGATCAGTCCAAGTTGCAAGGAGCAATCCTTCCCCGGCAAGCCCGTGCACACGCTTTACTACTCATCTTGAATGAGGAGAACGTGAGCGATATAATTTTCAGATGAAGCTCATTTGCGAGATGCCACCCTCCTTAGGAGGGGAGAGATAAGACCAGAGGAAATATAGAGAGGAAACAGCAGAAGTTATATATTACTCCCCCCCCCACAAATGCATACTTGTGTGATGGAGGGGAGATCTGACCTGAGCTTGACGTTTCACAGGAAGATGAAACCCTGAGAGCTCTGATTTCAAAGGGGCCCCTCTGAAGAGGGCTGGGCCCCAGTGATGCTTCCCACCGGCTGCCTGGAGAGCCCGTCCAGCCCCCGCTTTCTCCTCCCCTTGTTAGCTGGCTGTGTGTTCTCTCTGTGACGGGAATTCCCTGTACCTTGGATGTGTAATGGGAGGCGATCAGTGAAAATAGAGCTAGAATAACCTAGGTAGAGCTCATCAGAAAGGGTAAGAGGTGATAGAAATGGGGACAGGCAGGGGCGCCTGGGTGGCTTAGTCGGTTAAGCGTCCGACTTTCGCTTGGGTCATGATCTCGCGGTTCGTGGGTTCGAGCCCCGCGTCGGGCTCTGTGCTGACTGCCAGCTCAGAGCCTGGAGCCTGTTTCAGTCTGTGACTCCCTCTCTCTCTGACCCTCCCCTGCTCACGCTGTCTCTCTCTCTCTCCTAGAAATAAATAAAAATATTTTTAAAAAATGGGACAGGCAGAGTCACCATCAGCATAATTATACTCAAAGGAATATCATAATATGAGCACCTACCACCTACCAGGTACTAAGCTAAGTTCTTTGCTTGCATTGACTTGTTTCAGTGCCCCTGCGCGGGGGGGCGGGGGGGGTCAGGTGGGAGGAAAGCTGAGGCTCGGAGACCCAGGATTTGCCGAGGTCATAGGGTGGGATGTGATAGAGACATGGGTAGCTTGAGCAGGACTTGCACTTTCAGCCACCACCCTCCTCAGATACCTCTTACTGGCTTTAGGTCAAGTCATCCAAGAGCTTTCCTAAGTGACCGTTCCTGGGCTCCACCTTCCAAAGTTTTGGTTTAATTAGTCCTGGATGGGGCCTGGGCATGGTATCATTGTTTTTTTTTTTTTAATTCCCCAGGTGATTGTGTGGAGAGCCAGAGTTAAAAACCAGTCATGTATGGGGCTCCTGGGTGGCTTGGTCGGTTGGGCATATGACTTTGGCTCAGGTCATGATCTCACAGCTTGTGAGTTCAAGCCCTGCGTCGGGCTCTGTGCTGACAGCTAGCTCAGAGCCTGGAGCCTGCTTCAGATTCTGTGTGTGTCTCTCTCTCTCTGCCCCTCCCCCACTTGTGCTTGCTCTCTCTCTGTCTCTCTCTCTCTCTCTCAAAAATAAATAAACATTGGGAAAAAAAAGGAACCAGTCATGTATAACTATGTGTGTGTGTCTGTATATATGAACACGTGTGTGTGCATGTATATATGAACTGCACGTCTGTGTGTGTTGTATTCATTTCTAAGGGCTGCTGTAACAAAGTCCTACAACTGGGTGTCTTAAAACACCAGAAACGTATTCTTTCTCTGTTCTGGAGGCTCTGAGAGAGAGTCTGATCCAGGCCTGCTTCCCAGCTGCTGGTAGTGTCCCTTGGCTTCTAGGTTCACCATTTCTGTTTCCGCCTTCATTTCCATATGAGGCTCTCACTGTGTGTCTGTGTCTCTGTAAGTCTGTTCCTCTTCTTATAAGCAGTACCCCAGTCATTAGATGAAGGGTCCTCACTAGTCCAGTAGGACCTCATCTCAACTGATTACATCTGCAAAGAACTATTTCTGAATGAGATCACGTTCTAAGGTTCCCAGTGGGCAGGAAATTTGGAGGGACACCATTTAACCCACGGTGTATGTGTGCCTGTGTATGCGTGCATGCACAAGTAACTGAGGTTGTGTTAAGAACGGTTATCCTCGGGGCGCCTGGGTGGCTCAGCTGGCTGAGCGTCCAACTTAGGCTCAGGTCATGATCTCACGATTCGTGGGTTCGAGCCCCGCATCAGGCTCTGTTCTGACAGCGCAGAGCCTGGAGCCTGCTTCAGATTCTGTGTCTCCCTCTCTCTCTGCCCCTCCCCCGTTCTCGCTGTGTCTCCCTGCATCTCAATAATATATAAATGTAAAAAAAATAAAACAGAATGGCTCTCCTCGAGGCCTGTAAGGCCCTGGCCATAGTAGAAAACCATCGTGTGTATTTGCGGAGAGTCAGCAGGGAGGTGGGGCCTCTCCCCAAAGATGGGGTTGGGTGTTCCTCTTGAGTGGGTCTTGGGTCCTCCTACTTCTCCATCCACATGGCCACTCCCCTAATCCAGGCCACGGTCGCCTGTCACCCGCATAGACAGCAGCAATCACCCCACCCGTCTCCCCGCCTCTTCCCTTCCAGACCCTGCAAGCCACCCTTACGCCGTTCCACCTGGTTGTTCGTTGGGAGCCAGCAGCAAGCCTTCTAAATGCCAACGCTAAACTTGTTGGCTAAGGCTTCAGCGGATCCTGCTGTCCTGGGAGCCTCTCCAGTCTGTCTGTCCAGCATCACCTAGTGCTCTTCCCGCCGTGAGGGGGTTCTGTGGCAGAAGCACATCTCTTGGCTCTCTCTTCCTCTGGGTGGTCCCTCTGCTGGAAGGCGGGACAGACACCGTCCCCGGGACCCCAAAGGCTGAGGCACTCTGGCAGGGCTGTGATCCCCGGGGGGCCCCACAGACAGCAAAGAGCAAGGAGAGGAGGCTCCTGCGTGAGCCTCTCCATTAAACCTTGAGTCGGGCAAAGGAACTAGTAAATAACCCCATTGAGATTCCTCCAGCCACTTTCCAAGCTGGAAATGAAATGACCAGCTGTAAAAATGTGATGCACAATACAAACCAACTTAATGGTTTTCTGAAAGATTAAAAATTAATGTTGAGCATCAACACTTTTAGTGGTCAAATGTCCCCCATGGAGCTCGGTGTCTGGAAATTGCCCCCGTAGGGGACATTGGGGACCATGGCTATGGGCCTGTTTGGGATGGTATAAAGGCCCTGTGGAGTAGAGGCCATTTAGGGGTGAGCTGAGGTTAAAAGGCTCAGGCAAGGGGCACAGAGGCTTTCTCCCTGATCTCTCCTCTCATCAGTTGTTTGTAAACTTCAGAGGCTTCTCGCAACCCTAGCTTGTTTGATGCAATACGGAGGGTAGGTCTGTCAAACACCTGGAGTCGGCCAGTCCCCATGGGCCGCTAGATACTCTGACCCGTGTCCCCTGATGTTTTCAGCCATCCAGGGAAGGGAGGCGAGGTTCACATTCCCAGTGGGTTCCTGTCGCTGCGTGTAGGGCTGCTCCTTTCTGTAGATCAGCTTCTCGAACTTGGAACTTCCTGCCCCCCAACTTCCTCATCGCCTTGGGGGCAGAGGGGAGGATGGGGGACTTCTCTCCATAACTTCTGCGGTTGCTAAGCACCCCAGGTGCGGGTGGAGGGAGGAGCCACAGGCCAGCCCAGAGCGAAAGGTTGTTGGAGAAAAAGCTCTCAGTTTGTTGGGGCCTGAAACAGCAATGTTTTTTAAAAACACAATCTGCTGCCTAGCGAAGTTTGAAAACACCCCTTTATAGTCTAGATAATAAAGCTCAAAATTATCCACTATATTAGATGCTGCTTAATAAAATTATGGTCTAATGAGCTGCCTAATTTGTATTTGCCAGGTTTCAACCGTCTGGGATCGGCTGGGATGAGCTCTGATGGGTGCATTCAGTGACAGGTGGACTCAGCCTCTGGTCTGTGTCCGTTGGGGAGGCCACGGGTTGGGATGTTTATCATTCCATGAAAGGCCTCTTAAATACCCATGCCCGTCCGTGCTGGCGCAGTTGCTGGGGCAAGGGGTCCAGCACAGGCTGTGGTGCCAGAGCAGTGTCTAATTGTAGCCATTCCCACGGGGCAGCCATTGCAGAGATACTTGGCTTCTGT